TTGTGGTACTCACCAACAGCACACAATACACACAAGCACAGGGTGGTGGTGACCATAATGGGGATGGCAACTACAGAAACACATATTGCAGACAATGAGCAATGAGCACAGATCCACACAGGACACTATATTTTGGTGCATGTCACTCTCACAATGCACTGCACAAAACAGCTGACTGCAGGCTTCTACCACACCGATTGCATAAGAGTGAATTTACCTTGCATATAATGAATTTTTGGTATAAAAAGGGTCATCGCATAAGAGCAAATTTACACATACAGAACCCACTTAAAGTGAGGGAAACATGTGGAGGTGAAGCCTTACCAGTCTTAACCAGTCCTTTCCACCAGCATCAGGGCTGGTAGACTTAACCAAGGAAAGAGAAACAATATAGTATATTTCCAGTGGAAAAATGAACAGGAAAAAGGGAAAAGCAACAGACTGGGACTAAGAAAGAATAGTAAAAACTACAGAAATTGCATATCTAGGATAGAAAAGCTGCAAGGCTTGTGAAAGCAAACAGAGTGTATCTGTTAGCTGCTCAGAAAGAGAAAATATATTTTCTTCTGAAGGAAGTAATGTCCCTTTTGCATGGGGCTAAACAGGAACTGCACCCAGTGTTGGCCCTTCCTAGGGCAAGGTTGTGGCTGGCGCTTAAAAAGGTGTGCTAGAGGAAGAAGAAAAGATCTCTTTATCCTCCTCCCTTTTTGATGGAGAGCTTGGTACAAGGGCCACTGCCATTTGCAGTCACTGCATTCCGAGCTCCTCCATTTAGGAGAAAAAAATCAAGCCCTCACTTTGGAAAGTTGCACCACATTCATCCATTGAGCTGTGTCAGGAATAAAGGTCTTCTGTTCACTCCCTGGTCAAGGCATTCAGAATGGCCAAGGTATACAGATGTGCATTTTGCATGTTGAGGACCTAATTTTCCTCCCAAATCAGTTTCTCCCTGGGAAGGGAAATAGGACTTGGATTTTTAGGAATGTGTGCACTGAATATGAAACAAGAGTCTGAAATCCCCAGCATGAGTCACTAAATTGCCTGGAGTTGTTGTGTCTAGAACTTGTATCTCATCCTCTGTCACAAGCATTCTTGAGTAATTGCTTGGACAGAAATAAATGCTGACTGCAAGACACTGGGTTCCAAGGCCCACCTGTCCGTCGGAAAGGGTGTGATTGTAATCTACAACTGTTGCTACTACAGTAGTCCCTAGTTCCTTCCATCCTATGACTGCACCCATGCCACACCAGTTGAATATCAGCCCCCTTACTTTGAAGGGTTTTGCTCCATAGGCCAACAGTTATGTTGGCTTTTCAATTGCTCTCCTGTTGCTGCCAATGCTAAGTTTCAGGTGCTCAGATGTAGACATCATTTAAATAGAGAGCAAGCTCAGCAGAGATACTTCAAGGGTTGCTTGAGCCCTAGGGAATTATCATGGGTTGGGAAAAAAGGAAGATCCTGTTGCAGGGCTGTGAAAAAGAGGGGGAAATGAAGGGGAGAAAGAGGGAAACTAGTGGGTGCTTCTGGGAGATAATGCAGAGAAAAGGAAAGGATTCCAGAAACCATTGAAGAGGAGAGCTTATATTCCAGAAGACACCTAAACAAAATCCCCAAACCTTAAAGGTTTGCCTGTCATTCACTCTAAGAAACATTTTGAAAGCTCTGTTATGCTAAAAAGTATAGATTTTTTTCACAAGAGACTAAGGGAAAACTGATTGACTTATACCGGCTCTATGGAGAGTGAGGAAACAAACAATGCAAGCTGTCTCAAGCCCAACCTGACACCAATCATTCTTTCAGTTCATGCTGAAAGTTTGTTTAAGATTAGTTCTCTTTTTCAGCAGCTTAACTACAAGAAAACTTAAGTACAGGCTAGAAATGTGAGATTATTAGGACTGCTTGCCAAAAAGAAAATTTAACCCTGGGACTAAATTAATCCCTAGCATAACTCCATTGAAGTAAATAATGTTTATAGAGAATCATATTTTCTTTATATTAATGTGAAGGGGGATGCAAAAAAAGGCAAATTTCACCTGGTGTAATTGGAAAGAAGAATGCAGGGACAAAATCACAATTACTGGTATTTTCTATCTGTTGAAACCTGGGGGCGGAAAGAGCTGCTGTGAATAGAATATTTTCAACGGTAGCAAAATTGGTTGCTTTTTTCTGGACTTTAGCTCAATACTGTAAATTAGCAGGAAGCAATTAAACCTCAGAGTGAATCAGCACAGAAGCCAACTACTTTTTAATGTTAAAGCACATATTTCCTCTTAATGTGTAAGTGGAATGCTAATCAATACCAATCAAAATTACCTATGCATGTGGGGAACACTACACCTTAAAACTGTCCTATTTTCACATGTGCACGTGCTGTTTTTCTTGTTTTTTCTCTTTAAACTTCCAGCCTGTTGTTTTAACAATAACAGATAATAAACAGGAGCACCATATATTAACATGCTATCTTCTGAAAGAGCATATAGTGTATGTCCACTTACCACTGTTATGATGCATCTGAATTAATCCTTGCAACACACATTGTTCCAAACTACTAATTAGCTGATTTTTATAGCAAAATAGATACATTTGTAAAGTGGACTTTATTTAACAAGAACAAAAAATGTTGTTCATTATTCAAGACCATAGAACTCAGTATTATTTTGAACAATGAGGTAAATAATAACATGAAGTCTTAAAACCTTTGCTTCATTTCTTCCAACGACTGGTAAGTTTAGCAAGTTATGATCATGTCAGCTTTTTCAAAATGCCTTATAGAACAAGTCTAATCTGCTGCCGTATTGTTAAAATAAGATTATTGTGACTATTATTTATTAATGTGACTATTATTATAGAGCTTATAGCAAGCTGAGTGCTTTAACAAGAAGACAAATGTGATACTGTTATCATCTACATATCAGCTTGATTTGAATTATGATGTCACTGCAGACACCCGTTCAGTCAACAAGACCTGTTTCCATGATACTGTAGTGATGTACAAGATTTGGAAACCAGAATAGAATACAATATCAGGGCTAATTATTTTAGAAATTGTTTGCGTAGCCACATTTCAAACAATAATAAATTATATTAATGACAATATAAGATTAAAATTTTGCTTAGTTATGCTAGAATTTGATTAGTATTCAACTAATAATACTTAAATCAAGCTAAATGTCAGAGATCACTGAAGCAATAGATTCCATAAACATTTTTTTAAATGGTAGATATATAATTTTACTTGCTGGATTCCTCAGTTTAATTGGTTTCAGTCCTTAACTAGATAACTAGAAAACAACAGTTTGTTTCATTTTTAGTTCCTCTCCCCACATGCATACAACACACAACCAAACAAGAATGTCTTTCCTCACCCTATGCCTTTGTTGCTGTTTCTTAGACACTCATTGTACTCCCTCTAAAATTAAACCATGATCTTATGTGTGTTTCAGTAGAGCTTCAAGTGGGTGCAGCAGTCCACCTGAAGGCACTTGACACAGTGGAGAAGTAGGGTCTTCATTTTCTCAGGGAAGGGACTGCATCCAAATGCCCAGCTCACTTTTGGCCACAGTAGATTTTTTTTAAGTAACCACAGTTCTTTATATCTATTTTAAAAATTGTTAAAAGGGCCCATGGTTCTTGTGGGAGGCAGGATTCCTGCAGTATCAGCTTTTGGCTATTTTGCTGCAAAGCATTTTAACTTCAAAATGCTATTTCTTCAACACAAGCTTTAGAGCTTACTGGTGGGTTTGATCAGATGAAAAGTAGAGTAAAGCATCCACAGTGCGGGTGGAGGTGGGCAGGTTTAGGCCTATTTAATGATGCAAGATGCTTTTTTTTTTAAATGTGGCTTGCAGCTAATTATCTTTGTATGACCACGTCTCATTAAGGCTCACTAAGCAGGTCAAAAAGCCTAAAAACCTCCACTACCTCTTGAATTTTTACTCTTCTGATACTTCATCCAAACTGGACATCAAGTAGTCTGTTTCAGTCTCCAATACTGTAGAATAACTGAATATTGTATGCCATACTTTGTTAGCACTATTGATTGGGGAACCTTAAAGCAACAATTATTTGCTTTTGCCAATTATGCCACAAATCCTCGTTGTGATCTTGGATTGAACCTACCAATGAAAACCAGAGCCTTTGAAAAGAAGAGTGATGACAGCAGTTCTGGACTGGCAGCATAGAGCCACCAGAATTCACCACAGCACCGTCATAGATGTAACTGAAAGAGATTTTTGAAACAGCCTAGTGTTCAACACATCTGCTTCTATTTTTTATCTATAGAATATAATGCTGCCTTTATGTGGTTGTAATTAGTTTTGTATTCTACTAATGGAAAGTGCAAAGTACTGCATCTGCACAAATGTAAATAATTTGGGCTAGTCTAGTACCACATGCACATTTAAATAGAAAGCAGCTAATATAGAGTGCCACTAAACATAGACTAATATTCTTAGCCATTCCAGCTTCTTGCTTTTATGTGATGATTTTAAGCTTATGATAAAGAGATAAGGATGGCCTTATCTTACCGTAAGTAGGAGCCTGATCCTGTCCAAGCTTCTATGGCCTTAGGAATTTCCATTACAGCTAGTATGGGTTGTTTCCCTTGTCAGTAGAGAGTTTCTGGACTAATCTGCACAGTACTCTGAAGCTTACCGTCCACTACCATGTGGATCATCATTTCCACCCTGGTCCATTTTTCAGACTGGGGGGCTAATAGACAGGCTCCATCCCACAGCGTCATGAAAGGTGGGGGCTTTATTCTCGTCTTGTGAGCACTGAACTCTCCTACCCTTTTCTATGTTTTTGTTTTCTTTTTCTTTCATTTTTCCTAAAATTCGCCTTTTAATGTTTAGTTTGGCTCTTGCCAGAGTGTACAAGAAGAATTGGTTTGATTCTTGTGGGATGGCATGTTTCTTGTTCTACAGATACAGAGCTATAAAAAACCGCACTCTTTAATATTCAAAGGTTCTTTCAGGAAGTTTATATTCTCTGTTTTCCAGGGCGCCTTTACTTTCCATGGGAGTATGATAGACATGCCATTACTGAAGCAGGCACAGAACATTGTTACGCTTGCCACAGCCATCAAGAAAAAATGATCTGTTAAATGAAGCTCTCCCCATGCAGTCACAGTAGCTATTTTAAAGAATGACTATAATACTTCGGGGGGAAAAATTAAATACATCAGACTTAAGCAGAAATCCATTTACATTTCACCGATCTGTCCTAATTTTCTCACCAGCCTTTCTAACTACCAAAACACCATGGATTTTTATGTAGGGCCAAGCCCGGGTCCTGGTGGCCAGCGGTGAAGTCAGAGTGTTGTGTGGCATCGCCGCCATCCCTGCCAAGGCAGTGGGATGACTTCACCAAAGGAGCAAAGCCAGGGCTGGGCTGGGAGGAAATCAGCCTTTTTTAGAAAGAGGTTGGAACAGAAAAACCAGGTCCGATGCTTTTGGCTGCTCCCGCCTTGGAGTCCAGGCTCTTTGCCTGCTTCTTCAAAGAGGTGAAATCGTTAGTAGGAAACAAATCACCCCCGGAATGTACCCGACCATTAAAAACCAATGCCCAACGCCAGGCTCCTGCCTCGTTTGTAAGCGGGGGCGATGCCGGGCCGCGCCTCGGGGGAGCGGGCCGGGCCGGGCCGGCGAGAAACTTGTAGCCAGCGGCGCACGCGGCCCGGCGGCGGATTTGCATCACATTGGAGATAGCGGCGCGGGTCAGCTGGGCCGCGCGGTTAACGGGCTTAGTGAAGCTGTTGTGAAGAGGTTAACCCGGCTTGTAGGAAGGGTAAATAAACATAACAACCGGGCATTGTTCCCTATTCAGCATGTACTCTTACAGGGGAGGCGAGGGGGTATTGAAGCCGCCGAGGATCAACTTGTGGTTGCCAGAGGACGCCAATGAAGTTGGGGACGCCAACAAGCGGAGATTTTGTTTCTGCTCCTCATTAAATCACTGGCCTTTGTGCGCGGCCCAGGCCCGGCGGCTCCTGAGGGGGCTGCAAACCCCGCGCCAACCTCTGCGTGACCCGCCCGGCAGCGGGGAGGGCGCTTCTGGCTGCTGAACTCG